TTTTAGGTAAAGACACAGAAAAACAATCCAACTTTGCATTCCAAAAAATACCTAAAACTTTATTAGACATGCCCTCAGAAATTAAAAAATAGTTTTGTAACTCAGAATCAGAACTATAAACTTTTGCATAAACTGCTGAGAATTGGAACACCACTTATGAAGTGAAAACTTTCCCAAATTCAATAATTCAACTAATTGGTTTCGTAATTCATATAATTCATTCAAGGAATTCACGCTATACAGTGCATCATCAACATACATTTGACTTGTTAAAACATTCGCTGCAATAGGAAATTTATGCTTATACATATTTGCCAATTCAGTGAGGCAACGAGTGGCAACGTATGGTGCGAAATTGGTTCCATAACTAACCGTCAAAAGTTCTATGCAAGAAAGTTCTTCACCAGGGCTTTTTCGCCATAAGATGTTCTGCAAAAAAGTATGGTCTGGATTAATCATAATTTGCCTGTACATCTTCTGGATGTCAGTAACAACTGCAAAACGGAACATACGGAACCTACACAGTATATCAAAAAGCTCAGGCTGTACGACCATGCCTTTAAGACAGATATCATTCAATGAATATCCCGAGGTTGATTTCATTGATGCATCAAAAACTACCCTAAGACGAGTACTAGTTTTGTCATTTCGAATTATGCAATGATGCGGAATAAAATATTTATGTTCATTGTTTTTATTTTTAAGGTCCAGAGGAACATACCTTGCATGACCCAACTTTATGTATTCGTCAATGAACTCAGAATATTGACTAAATAAATCAGGATTTTGAATCAACCTTTTTTCAAGGGAATTAAAACGTTTTTTGGCCGATAAAAATGATTCTCCAAGCTTCATATTTTCATTTGAAGATTTCAAAGGGATATCGACTTGAAATCTACCATTTTCAAGTAACTTGGTAGTATCTACAAAGATTTTTTCTGAAATTTCATCATCAGTAGACAATATATTGTCCTTAGGAACCTCCTCAAGAGTCCAGAATTTTTGTAATAGATTATCAACTTGATCTGAACTGATAAATAATGACAACGGCTTAAACGGATCACAATTTGCAATGAAATTCGAAATTAACGAAGAAGGCAAATTTCCACCTATAACCCAACCTAGGTGTGTGTTTTGGAGGACTGGAAGTTCATTACCAAGGTTAATTAAACCAGGAGTCAACAATGAGAAATACACCTCTGCTCCAAGAAGTAAATCAATATGTTGTGGATTGTAATATTTTGAATCTGCAAGGACAATATTGTTAGGAATTTCTAACTTGCTGGCTTCAATTGGAAATTGCGGCAACCTGCAACTACTGAAATCTGTAATTGAGCATGTAGCTTTAAACCTTTTATTTTTGTCAATAGTTGACTTAAATTCAATATCAATTGCTTCAGTGCATTGTACTGCGCCAGAAACACCATTAATTTCAACATTTTTTCTATACGTTGGATACCTTAGTTGTTTTGCCAATTTCCGTGTCATAATAGATACTTGAGATCCATTGTCTTGGACTGCTCTAGCCGACAAAAAAGTTCCATCATTATTAATTACCTGTATGAAGGCAGTGGCTAATAAAACATGACAATTTTCACTACCGAAAAAACTAGATTTCGACTGCAATACAATGTTGTTTTCAGGACATACTGAACGTGAACTATGGGGACGCATTGTATGTGAGTTTTCTGAATTTTGATTTTGGCCACTTTGACCACTCACATTAGCTAAACCCGACGCGGACCCTGAACCAGAATTGTCAACATGACCCAACCTGTTCTCTTGAACATTTTGTCTAATATTTGCCGTTTGAAAGTTGTTTGAATTATTTTGATGTCTATTGTTTGTATGATTGTTATTGTACTTAGATGTACTATTATCTACATGTAACAGTGCATTATGAGCTTCTCCACACACGGGACAATTGTTAAAAGTACAATCTTTAACATGATGTGAATCAAAACATTTGAAGCACAAGTGGTTTGAAAAAATAAAGGATTTCCTTTGGTTAACTTTTAAATCTTTAAATTTTTTACATTTATAAATCATATGATTATTTAATTTGCAATATAGACAAAATAACTTTTTCTCTACAAACTTAGAATGTTTTTTGATAGGCTCTGGAGAAGACAAATTCTCGGCAGCCTGACAGCGTTTCTCCACAAAATTTAGGAAATCAACCAGCGTTGGCATTAGTGTAGGACCCCTCTCTAATTCATAAACTCTTCTAGTATTAATATCTAGCTTTTGTGACAAAATAAAAACCAGAATTAAATCCCATTCCGCCACCGGAACTCTGAGATTTTTTAGACACTCCGTATGTTGCTTTATAGAAACAACAAAATCACGTAAGCTAGCAGAACTGCTTCTATTTATGGATGGAAGTTCCAATAGGCCTTTAATATGAGAGTAAATACTAGCTAGTTTGTTCTCATATCTGTCTTTCAAAATATCTATTGATACCTGCAAATTGCTACTTACTAATGGCAAATTCTCAATAAGCTTTAAAGGTTCACCCTGTAAATTGGATTTTAGATAGATTAATTTTTGTATATCTGCCAAATTGGGATTGTTTAAAACCAACGCTTTGAAAATGTCAAAAAAGCTTGACCAATTTTGATGAGCTCCTTTAAATTTATCGATAGTTATCTCAGGCATCTTAGAACCTATTGTACAATTATTCGAGTTATTTTGAGAAACATTACTATTTACACTTGTATTTACATTATTCAAGACAGGAGAACATTTGTCAATCAAAATTTTTAGTATTGTTTTTAAATTGAAAAATTTATCTTCAGTTTCTGACCTATCGCCTATTTTTTCTGCACTTGCTCCTATATTTTCTATTGAATCTTGTGAAATGGAGAATTTTTCGAAAGCTTTTTCCAACATTTCAAGCCTATTTTCATACTCATATTTATGCATTAAATCATTTTGATTTCTTGTTAAAAAAGTTTCAATCCTAGTAATACTAGCTCTAGCATTTTTTCTATCAGCAATAAATGTTTTTAGTTCTTCCTCCATTTTTATGAACTTGAATAATTAAACAAAATTTAAGTTTAACAATCTTTTTTGACTTCAATTCAATGAAATGAGTTTAGTTTTTTATTTAAATAAAAAGTGTCTTTTTGTTCTATCAAAAATTGTCTTTTTATTCTATTGTGTCTGCTAAAGGACAAAACTTGTCGTGAAGCATTGACACATAGAAAAAACTCGACGTTATCAATCTCAACTCAACATAGATTAATAAAAACAAATGGAAAGCTCTGACCTTAGTCCTCGTAGAGATTCACAACTCCAACTAGGTAGGTATTTCAGCTCCAACACTCCGAACAAGAAATAGGTAGGTACACACGTACCGTACAACCAATCCAAAGTTCGCTTACACAAGTATACTCTTACACAAGAGTATGTACAAAACCGACGATTACACACGAATCGAATCCGGCACTCGAAAGGATCAAATTTTATGTTAACACATAAAAGCTTCAATAGCTCATTTTTACCCGAGAGGTTATGTAATAGAAAATAATTACGAAACACCGGGTTGTTCTTAATAAAAGTGGACTGTATTAACTTTTCAAAACATTACGATGACAATCGGCAATAAACAAAGTTACATTTTTTATTTATTGTCTGTATTTTGTGCAATAGCAATTTCTTGCTGATTAATTAAAATTTGGACGCGACTTCGCGACGCCGCTTCTTCAATACGGCGGGTAGCACAGTACCTATTTATGCGATAGCCAACTCACGACTACCCTAGGAATTTATACAGAAATGGCGCTTCCCTTAAAATATCTAGGTGTGGACGAGTCCATTATTGGAATTTAGGGGGAAGAAGCATATTAAAAAACTTGTTCCTTCTTGTGGGTTTTTTTATGTTTTGGGAGAATTGATATTGCACCAATACTTGTAACCAATACAATAAGGATAGATTGCACCATAATATAAATAATAATATAAAAATCAGGAATAATTATTAGAAAATCCAACAATTACATTGAAAATTTAAATTTGCCGCCTATTACGAATGTTTTTGAAAAGAAAAGCCATCAATTTTATCTTGTATTGGACAGAATAGAAATAATAAGGATAGTGAGGATCAATCATTTATAGCGTTTTCTATTTGTCGAACCAGTGCAAAAAAAATGTATCCTTATCCTTACATGTTACATGCTTTTAGAAAAAGATGCGGATACACTCAGTGCGCACTGATTGACAAATGGAAATCGCCATTAGTTACTTTTGTTTTTGTTTTCTTCTTTTGGCAACAATGTTCGCGCACCGCAATATGGCGTCCAAACAAAAGGTCAATTCCCCGCTAGTGTGTTTTTGACAACGTTATTGCTGACATCACACAGGAAATAGGGATCTATTATTACAAGTTGGGAAATCAAGATCTACTACACCTCAAAATTTCATTTTTGCACCACTGGTAGTTTTTGAGTTAAATAAGTTAAATCCCTATAATAAAAAATTGTTAAATTTTTTAGAACAAAATCAGGTATATCTAGTTCCAAAACCTCCAATACCTATTATATCGGATCTTCAAAAAAAAAAAAACAATCGAAGATTGCTATGGGTTTTTGAACGTATGTCTTAGGAATATTTTCTTTTAATTTTGTCAATGAACTTTAATGTCGAAATGTCATGTCAAAAATCTTGATCAATAAAGAAACAATGCGATGTACCATCGTCACCAAAAGTAACTGGGACAGCATCATATTAGCTCTTGTACTATTATATGAATTCTATTGTCAAATATTTGTCAAACTATAATTTAAATGCATTAAAATAAGTGACAGTAGAATTAGTCCAGATACTTTTGGTGACGATGGTACATTTTCGTCATCAGAGCACTTTTTGATTGTACGTACGTACCTTTAATTATTATTATCGATGTGGTCACTAAGTTCAAGATGACTATAGTATCAATTTTTAATAAAAGTTCTTACCAAAATATTATCTATTATTACAAAAATTCTCTAAATAATTACCTGTTCCTTATACTGATCGGCATGCCTACGTTCGTCTTCGAGCTGCATCACCAATTCCTTAATCCTCTTATCCAATTTCCTGTTGCCCTTTTGCTGCGCCAGACGTTCTTTAGCTTCAACCTACAAAAAACCAAACAATTAACAACCAAACCCCAAAAACAAACAACCACTACTCACCTCCAATTGTTCTTCCAAATTGGCAATTTTACTTTCCAACGCCGCTATTGTGGCCTTAGTCTTAGTCCTTTGCGCCACTTCCAACTCACTCAATTTCGCTTTTAATTCCTTGTTTTGTCTTTCTAACAGCAACCGATTCGATTCCAACTTTTGACTGGCCGAACGTTCACTAGATAAATCAGTTGTGAGTTGGTCGATGCTTAGCTGGGCTTTTCTAGCACGGTCTTGGAGCATTTCATTGGTGCTTTGCTCTTCTTCTAGTTCCTCTTCTAGAGTGGCGATTCTGGCTTCAAGACGACGTTTTTCGTCTATTAATAAAGACCCTTTGTTGTTGCTCGAGTTGATTTCTTCTTGAAGTTCGTCGCGTTCTGCTTCAGCTGCACGCCTAGTGCGTTCGGAACTAGACAAGTCTTCTGTCATTTGTAAAACTTCAGCTTCTAAGGTTTTTACTTTGCGTTCGGCTTCTTTGCTAGTGGCAGCTAGTTCGTCTCTAGCTGCACGAGCTTCTTCAGCGTCTCGGATTGCTTCTTTGCATTGCTGTTGGGATTTTTTCAGTTGCTTCAAAGCATCTTCTTTTACTTTACATTGAAGCTCTATTTGACTTTCTAATTCTTTAATGTCACCTTCTAGTTTTTTTCTAGCACTTACTGCAGCAGCTCGTTGTTTTCTTTCCTCATCGAGTTCTGCTTCTAAATCTCTCAATTGCTTGACAATTCCTCTGCGTTTTTCTTCTGCTTGTTCTTCTTTAGCTTGAATGTCGCGTTCAAATTGGGCTCTTAAGGCTTGCATGTTTACTTCTAAACGTAATTTTGCGTCTTCGGTTAATTGAAGTTCGTCTTCTAGTTCTTCGTTTTGAGCCTTTAATTCGGCTAGTTGAGATTCCAAAGAGCGTTTGGCTTTTTCTAGTTCGTGCACGTTTTTATCGGCAGTGCCTTGATTGTTGACCAATTCGTCTAGTTCACCTTGTAATTGTCGCCTTACTCTTTCTAGCTCGTCAATTTTTACATTTGAATCATCTAATTCACGCTTAAGAGATAAGACTAAGGTTTCCTTGTCTCTAGCTTCTTTTTCGACGGCTTCTTTTTCTAGAGTCAATTGTTCACTTACAGCTTTTTCTTCGGCTAAGACTTTATCGAAATTTTTTTGTTTTTTTTCCAATTCGGCCACCTTTTGACGTTGCGTTTCCAAGTCAATGTTGGCATCTTCTAGTTCAGCTGCGATTTTCTTTTTGCTTCTTTCTAGTTTGTCATTGGCTGCAGTAAGCTCTTCTACTTGTCTTTGTAGAAGCTCTAAGTCTTTTGCTAGTTTTTTTTTGCTTTCTTCTAAAATGGCCGCTTGTTCGGCTTCGTCTTCTGCTTTCTTTTTGCTTTCGGCTAGTTGCAGCATTAGGCCTGCTAGGTGTTTGACCATATTATTTTTAGCTTCTTCTTCTTCTTCTAGTTGCTCTTGCAAGGCCTCCTTGTCTGATTCTAATTGTCTAAGCTTGGAGCTTAAGGCTAGTTTTTGTCTTGTTTCTTCTTCCAAAGCAGCTTGGGCTTCGGAAAATTGCGATTCTATTGTAGCTTGGTTTTTCATTGCAGCTGAAGCTTTTAGCTCGGATTGTTCCAGTTGTGATACAACGTTTTCAACTTCTTGTTGCAGTTTTACAGTTTTTTCTTGTAGCTCGATTCTTGAACGCTCAACTTCAGCTAGTTTAGCAGTTATTTCAGCCAATTGGCTTTCGGCTTGTTTGCGGCGTCTTTCGCCTTCTTGTCTGCTTGCACCTACGTTTCTCAACTCACTAGTTAGGTCAGCATTTTCAGCTTCCAAAGCTTGTTTGGCCTTTTCCAGGCCTACTTTTAACTTTTTAATGTTTTCCATTTGTTCATTAATGGAGCCCAATTCTTGTGAGTGTTTGTGTCTCATTTCAGCTTGGGTGGCTTCATGTAAAGCTGTTTCATCTTCCAAGCTTTTCTTTAAAGTAGCAAGTTCTTGTTCTCTCTTAGAACGTAGCTCTTGTTGGGCAGCTGTAGTATCCAAAGAATCTAGTAGCTCATTTTTAAGGGCTTCTAATTCTTCGTTTAAGTCACGCTTCATTTTTTCAGCTTTAGTTCTGGCAGCTTTTTCAGCTTCCAAGTCTTCTTGCAGCTCAGTTAACTGGCTTTCTAGTTCTCGTAGGGCTTTTTGCGATTGGGCTTTTTGCGCAGCTTCTTCGTCAACTTTTACCATGGCTTGGGCCAGTTCTTCTTCGCGTTTGCCCAACTGAAGTTGCAGTTCTTCGATTTGGGTGCGGCGCTCTTGCACCTGCTCTTTCAAATCATTTACTTCAGTTTCCACTTTACGTTTAGTTCTATCAGATTCTTGTCTTTGCTGATGATCTTTCAATAAACGTTCTTCAAGTTCTGCTATTGTAGCTTCATGTTTCGTCTTCAATTTAGACAAATGTTTAGCCTTCTCTTCCTCTTCTGCTAAAGCCTGACTCAAATCATTACTACGTTCCTCCAAAATCTTCTTTTCCTTTAACAATTTTTGATTAGTATCATCAGACAATGCTAAATCTTCTTCTAGTTTTTTTATTTTAGCATCACATTGGACTTTTTCTAGTTGAAGTTTTTGCCTGGCCCCTTCCTCTTCTTCTAATTGCTCCTCCAAATCTGAAATAGTTGTTTGAAGTTTCTTTTTTTCAACAGTCAAAGTACTAGCACGTTCTTCTTCTTCTTCAATTCTGGCTTCAAGATCATGTAAAATGTCTTCAAGTTCTTGTTTGCGCGCAGTCAATCTAGCACGCATTTCTTCAGCTTCTGCGCACAATTCCACTTCAGCTTGTAGTTGTTCTTGAAGCACCGCCTTTTCCTCTTGGGCTTTTTGATATTTTGATTCAAATTCTTGCACTGCTTTAACATGATGCTCCAACTTGTCTTTGACTTGTTTTAGCTCATCTTCCTTTTGCATTAACTTTTCCTCTTGCTTAGTAACTTCCAAAAGCGGTTTCACTTTGGTATATAAACGCCACCATTGCCAGTTTCTCAGCTTCAAATACGCAGAGCAATTGCGTTGAATAATACGTATGGCATTCAATTGCTGGACACGTTTTTGATAATTACGTCTGGACAAAAATCCCCTGCAAAATGCTTGGAAATTGACAATCAAATCAGTTATTTTGTAGTCACGTTCCTCTTCTAAATGTGCCAACACACCAGCGCGGAAAAATATCTTGCTTTGCCCTATACGGAACAAATTAGAATCCAAATCTAGGCTTTTAATCATAGTTTCACATGCCTTTTTGCCATCCATAAAGCCTTTATTAATTACATTGGGTGTCAATAACTCATACCGTTGCCTAAACTCTTGGAACGGTATTCTATTAGGAAAACCTTGCCTGCAAATACGAATACCTTCCAAAACCCCATTGCACCTCAACTGATCCAAAACTAAAGGAGCATCAATTTTGCCAGCTCGTTTTTCATGATTCGGAATTATACAACGCACAAAATTAGGATTAGTATTCCTCAAAGTAACCATCAAATTGCCTAGTTGCTCTTTGTATAAATAGGAAACTGTTCTAAACATACCCTTAGCTCTACCAATAGTTTCAGCATCTTTCCAAATATGAACCACAAATGGGTCTTGAGAGGCTTGCAACAAAGAAACTACGTTTTCGTTTTGCGGATCCATATTTTTCATTAGCCATTGGTTGCCGCAATAATCCACTTTGCCAGCGTAATGGATTATTGAAAAATCAGCAATTCCACGAAAATCGCTTTTTTTGAATTTAGGATGCACTGAGTGAGCTGTTACTAGTTTTTCCACAAAAGTTTTATCTGTTGCTTTGGGAAAAAGACATTCTTCATCTAATAAGGCCATAATACCCATAGGTTTATCAATTAAATCAATTGTAGGTTGCAAATCCAAGCCAAAATCAATAAATTTCCATTCAATCCCCTCACGTTGGTATTCTTCTTGTTCCAAAATAAACATTGTATGGTTAAAGAGTTGCTGCAACTTTTCATTAGTATAATTAATACATAGTTGCTCAAAAGAATTCAAATCAAATATTTCAAAACCAGCTATATCAAGAATACCAATGAAGCTAGCCCCTTGCCTCTTAGTCCTGCCTAAAGACCTATTAATCCTATTAACCAACCACTTAAACATCCTCTCATAACAAGCCTTAGAAACAGCTTCAACTGCAAATTCAACTTGCTCCTTAGTTTGACTTTTAGTCACAAAATCTCTACCAACTTTAATGCGAGGCTTCAAAAAAGCCCTCGTCATATCAGTAACCGACAATCCTAATAAATGAGCAATTTTCTGGGCTACAGTGTTATCAGGTAGGGTGGCTTGGTCTGAGTTACGGTCCTGTTTGAATTGCATTTTGCCAAACAGCATGACAGCGGAGACTACACGGAAAATGGCACTGAAATCCTCGTTGGTCATGCCCATAATGTTCATGCTTTTTACAGTGGCTTGAAACTCTAAGGCGTCATCTACGCCGGGCACTATGTGGTTGTCGTCGCGGAGGAAGTTGTAGGAACGGGGGTCTTCGAGAATGAATTCCTCTGTGGACAATTTTAGGTTTTAGAAATATGCAATAATGACGTAAGTGTGGGTTGTTAATTATAAAGAATTCAAGTACATAATCTCAGAGTAACCAAAACAATCACATTGTATGTTCTGACTTGTTCCAAGCATTCTAGAGTGATTCTGAAGTTTCTATATTGTTTTGAACCAAAATGTCCTATTCAGAATTAATTTTTAAATGTTTTGAAGCGTTTTAGAAAGCATCAAAGTACTGAATTGTTCTAGAGCAGCGGTTCCCAACCGGTGGGTCACGACCCCTAAGGGGGTCGCATTGAGTTTTTGGAAAAGTCGCAATGCCAATATACAGGGTGTCCAAAATACCATAGGCCACCATTGGTATATCAGAAACGGTAAGAGATACGAGGGCGGTTAAATTAGAAAAAAGCTGCCATTTTCAAAGGGTATTTAAAATATATTTTCGTTGTTGCCAAATTTCTATTAGTTTCCGAGATACAGGATTATTTGTAAAAAAAACAGTTTTAAGTGTTTTTATGTGCCATGCATAGTTCATATCCTTATGTCGCCCTACTCATACTATCTTTTCGGATACTAATATCATTTGCCTCTTCCAGGGTTGCCAGATTTCAACTTTGAAAAAGCGAGACAGCGGATAGAAAAATAAAACAATATAGGTAGGAAACACAGCCTAAAAGGGTGTTGTCGGCGGGAAATCGAAATATATTTCCTCACATTTTTAAAAATCGGGACATTTGGTATTCAATTCGTGAATCGGGACGGTTCGGAAATATCTCTAAAAATCGGGACTGTCCCGCCTAAACTGGGACGTCTGGCAACCCTGATTAGAGCCTAATTTCATCAAAATCGGATTGAAATTAAAAAACCGACCAGTAGGCAACAGTCCAGTAGTACACGGTACTCAAATATGAATGATATATAAGGAATTTAATTTAATGGTACTTTTGTTATCAATTTAAGTGGGTACTACTACTACTTTATCAAATAATTTCCTTTGTGTTTGATTTTAATTGAATTATGACTCATGTATAATCGCTTTTGATGTTTTTGCAATAGTATGTACTACTTTATTGTTGTCTTTGTCTTACTCATTTATACTCGATAAGTAGGCCTTGTAATATGTTATTTTCATTGAAATTCAATTGAAAACAAGTTTCCAAAGGAATTTATTGTTTTATAATCGTTATTAATTATTTATTTGACCAGTTTTAATTAAATTTAATTATTTAAAATGTTATCGATGTCATAATGTGGCAACGTCGCTTTTAGTCGGCTATTTTGCAGTGACGTGTTTACGTTTTTATCCAGTTTTTCCTCAGATTTTCCACTTTTTCAAAGCGTTTTCAATCGGGAAAACTAGTGAAAGCACGAGGCGTTAGGTTTTCATCATTTTCCAACAAAAAATTCCAGTTTTGAATGCCATAATTAGCAAAATCCCATTTAAAATGGTTTTTCAGGTTTGGACAACAGTCGGCCATTTTAAATTAATTCGTATTTTTTCTCGAATTTTCCGCTTTTCCAGGACGTTTTTAGCCGAAAAAACTGGTTTAAAGTACGAAGCTTTGAGTTTCCTTCATTTTGTGTCAAAAATGTCTACTTTTTCAATGAGGTAAGTGACAAAAATTCAGTTTCATCAAGTAGATTTTGGAGAGTCCTTTTTAAAGGTTTTTTTTTTTGAATTTTCCACTTTTCCAAGGCTTTTTCGATCGGGAAAACTGGTTTTAAGTACGAGGCTTTGAGGTTCCTTAATTTTCTAACAAAAGTTTTCAGTATTAAATGCAATAATTAGCAAAATCCCATTTAAAATACTTTTTCTGGAAGTTTTAATCTGGCAACACCGCTTGTGGCTAACTTCAATCAAGTGAATAAGTCATTTGTTAGCTTTGACGGTCGGCCATTTTCAGTGTTTTTATCCTGATTTCTCTTCAGATTTTCCGCTTTTTCAGGTCGTTTTCAATCAGGAAAACTGCCTGCCAAAAATGTCCTGTTTTCCAATGGGGTAAATGACAAAAACTCAAGTTTCATCAAGTATGCTTTAGAATGTCCTTTTCAGAGGTTTTTCTTCGGATTTTCCGCTTTTCCAGGGCTTTTTGAATCGGGAAAACTGGTTTTAAGTATGTGGCTAAGAGTTTCCTTCATTTTGTGCCAAAAATTTCCAGTTTTCCAATGGGGTAAATGACAAAAGATCTGTTTCCACAAGAGTCTCTGACAGTTTGCAACCTGTCAGAAACAATCGTTCAGCTCAGCTACAGATTTATCTTTTAACGACAGCATTGAAAACATGTATGGGCGATGCTTACTGACAGTTTGCAAACTGTCAGAGACTCCTGTGGGAACAAACCTAAAAACTCAAGTATGCTTTAGAATGTCCTCTTCAGAGGTTTTTCTTCGGATTTTCCGCTTTTCCAGGGCTTCTTTGGTCGGAAAATTGATTTTAAGTACGAGGCTTTAAATTTCCTTTATTTTGTGCCAAAAATTTCTAGTTTTTCAATAAGGTAAGTGACAAAAACTCAAGTTTCATTAAGTAGGCTTTGGAATGTCCTCTTCAGAGGTTTTTCTTTGGATTTTTGCTTTTCCAGGGAAAATCAATTTTAAGTACAAAACTTTGAGTTTTCTTCATTTTCAGCCAAAAATTTCCGTGTTCCGTCCGCAAAAAAAAAAACTAAAAAACAACTTTTTAGGGAATTTCTAGTTTTAAAAATCAGCTTTTTCACTAAAATACTATTTTTCTTTAGTTTACAACACTGCTTTGTAGCCAACTTCACTCGGGTTCCAATCAAGTCGGCCTTGGAATGTAATTTCCAAAGCCCTGACAATGACATTTGATAGTCGGCCATTTTTAGTGTTTTTATTCCGGTTTTTCCGTGAACTTTCCACTTTTCCGGGATTTTTTAAATGGAAAAAAGTGTTTTTAAGAGCCGAATTTATAGTCGTTCCTTGACTCTTCCTTGGAGATCATGAGTTTAGAATGCACACTTGGTACTATTTGACAAATAAGTCATGTCAATTCTAAACGTTCAAGGCTTCCTTAAGGTCTGAGGAAACCTCAAGGAGCGACTATAAATTCGGCCCTAAGTGCGGGACTTTGAATTTTTTCGTTTTTTTGCTAGCAATTTCCAGTTTTCCCATCGAGGTAAGTGACAGAAACTTTAATTTAAAAACAAGTTGTTCAAGGATTTTCAAAGAAAATTTATTATTTTTGGGGAATTTTTGCTTAATTTGGGGTTGTTTTTTTAATTTTTTAAAATTATTTTCAACATTTGACAACGCCGCTTTCCAGTTCTTGATTGGCTTTAAAAGTTAAATTTTAATTATTCTCGGCTCTTGATTGTTTTTCACTTTCATTTAATAAACCAATCAAAAGATGAGAATTTCCAAAAATAGAATTTTATTATGTGGCAACATCGCTAGCTCAATCGAGTAGGCCTTGGAATGTCATCAGTGTTATTTACGTCAATTTCAAATTGAAGTCGATAAAACAGAACTCTGCAATATTTTCGTATACCTTTAAGGCCTGACAACATTGAGCTGGTAATACAGAATTCTGTAATATTTTTTTTATATCAAACGGCCTGACATGACAACATTGGGCCAGTAATACAGAACTTTGTAATGAAAAACTTGAAACCGCACTAAGTAGAGGTAACGTACAACATTTTATTTACGACCTTTTTTTTTTTGAACAATAAGCCAATCGAGTAGAACTTGGAATGTTATCAGTGTTATTTACATTTACGTCAATTTCAAATTGAAGCCGATGAAACAGAACTCTGCAATATTTAAGGCCTGACCACATTGGACCGGTAATACAGAATCTGTAATATTTTTTTTTATACCAAACCACCTGACATGCAGGGTTGCCAGATTTTAACTTTGAAAAAGCGAGACAGCAGATAGGAAAAAAAAAACAATATAGGTAGGAAACGCAGCCTAAAAGGGTGTTGTCGGCCGGAAATCGGGATATATTTCCTCACATTTTTAAAAATCGGGACATTTGGCATTCAATTCGTGAATCGGGACGGTTCGGAAATATCTCTAAAAATCGGGATTGTCCCGCCTAAATCGGGGACGTCTGGCAACCCTGGCCTCTATCTACTTTCGTGAAAGTGGTTTTTCAACTCTTTTTAAGAAAAACTCAAGAATCCCAAGAATTTCAAATCGGAGATGCAAGCTCAGTCATCACATTAACAAAATAAAAATTGACTTTTTATAATAAGTTACGAAATATTAATATTTTAATAAAGATTTTTTGTTTTTTATTTATTGAGGGGTAGGGGGGTCGCGACCTTATGAGCAAATCAGTAAAAGGGTCGTGACTAAAAAACGGTTGGGAACCACTGTTCTAGAGCGTTGCGAATTGATTCAAAATAGTTCTGAAGCGTTCTTTGAAGTTCCAGCCCATTGTACTCCAATTGCTCTAATTTCTTATCAAAAGTAGAAAATGTTCAGGAGCATTGTAATTTCGCTCTAAAAAACCCTAAATTGTTTTTAGTAATTTTTAACTTGAATCTCCTAATTTATATAATTTGAAAATTTCAAGTCGTTCTGCGTTCTTAAAATACCACATATTCTGAAGTCCAAGAAGGCAGAAAAAGGAGGACTAACGCTGACGTACTTCTTAGACGGGCCGTCATTTGGGACTTTGGGACCCATTCAAGGTGTTTTACAGACTTGCGAGGTTGACTGTTAAAGTGCTGAGGGGTCTCAATGGAGGGGATCAGGGTCCTTCAAATAAACCTGCAGCACAGTAAAGCTCTGCCGCTCTAACTAGGACTATGGGAAAGTACGACATTGCACTTGTAAAAGAACCATGGGTAAGTAGAGGGAAAATTGCAGGCCTGTTGGGAGTTAATGGGGAGCTAATATAAAGGAGATTCACTGAAACCCTCAGAGCTTATATACTATTTAGTAAAAAAAAAAAAAACAAAAAAAATGTTACCGCTAACGGAATTCTGTCCTTGTTGCGGTAAAAATTAGATTGTCAGTTGGGTGTGGGCAGAGA